TGTCAAAGACACAAACATTATACATTATGTTTTTCTTTTACCAGGATGCAGTGACAAATATTTGGGGCTTAGCCTACAGTACCCGCCGCCCCTGGGCCCCCCCCCCCTTGCGTTGGAAAGTGACGACAGGGACCTTGACATAACGTCACTATAGGATGAGTTGGGAGTTTGAATGTGTTGGTGCAATATATATATATATTCCGTGAATAACTGCAATATGGCTGCTACATCTTCAGAACGGTTACAGGCTGTGTATTTTGTAAATTGTGCAACTATATATATATATTTTATTTTTTTTTAAATGTATCTTTCATATTTGTTTCAGTTATTTATGCATACCTCTTGTTAAACATTAAGCTGTCTTTGGCTCTTTTTCTGCTGGAACAAATGTAAATTATACAATAACCACATGAGGCAGAAATGTAAGGTTAACAGAAAAACAAAACAAAGGCCACGTAGAGTCCTGAAAGGAACCGACATAATAACAGAACACATCACACGCATTTCAAATAGAAATAAAAGCCAATGTAAAAAGATAGGTCTTCAGTAGTTTAAAAGTTGTAAAAGCTTCTACAGAGACTGCAGAGCGGATGACTCTAGGGAGAGTTCCACAGTGTTGGAGCTCCACCTGAAAGGCACGGTCACCTTTAGTTTTTAGACGAGACCGTGGGAATCTGGTCTGAAGACCTAAGTGACCTAATGGCGATGTAAGGATGGAGAAGGTCACATATATATTCCGGTGCATTTCCACGCAGGCCTCTAAATGTAATAACCAGAACCTTAAAATCAATTCTTAAACGAGTGGGGAACCAATGTAAGGATTTTAAAATTGGTGTAATATAAATTGTGAAAAGTGTAAATACTGGACTTGAAACTCACAGTACTGTTTTTTACAGAATACTGTATGAGTTAAATTATTACAACAGTGAGCGTGTGATCATTGTGTTCTTGCAGTTGTCACTGCTCCCTTAGCACGTCACTGCAAATATATAATTATTTGTATTTAACATGTCATGCTTACTGTGTCATTAGTCAAACTTCATTCAACATTCACATAGGTGGAATGCACCAGCAACCTGTTCTGCTATAGAAAAGAAGGGCGTTTCACATAATACTTAAAGGGCCCATGTCATGGCCATTTCTACTGATCATAATTCCATTGTTGAGGTATACTAAAATAGATTTATACTGTGCAATTTTCCAAACTCACATTGGTTTCTCATACAGCATCTCTGTAAAGTATGTGTATTCACCGGTATTCACTCTCTGTCCTAAACGGCTCGTTGGAGCTCCTGACCCCCCCCCCCCCCCCTCCCTGTGAGCCCAGTGTGCTCTGATTGGTCGGGACGTTGCGGGGCTCGTTGCTGCGATCTGCTGCGAGGAGCGGACAGGCTTCCGGGTCGGCGATACAGCGAGAACAAGCTAAACTCATCCTGAGCACACACAAATACTCACAGCCAAAGTAAAAACAATAAGTGTGGCTCCATATTGAGTAAGAAAAGGTTTATAACACTGAGAGCATGGGTCTGCAGAGAGCATTTCTCCGCGATCCCAACTTAGCAGCCCAAAAAACGTTTACCCATTTAAACAGTTGTGGTAGATACCTTGTTTGTTTTAAACATCATACATACACAAACAACAATGAATACTTACAGGTTGTGTACCCGAATCTCTCGCTGGTCCAAATAAAGTAGGAACAGCATCGTTCTTCAGTGCCCTACGCTGTACATATCCGGCATGAATCGCTGAAACGTTTGTGAAGCTTTGCTGGCAGAGGGTGTGGCCTCTGGGTATTCACACATCACAGTACCCAGGAAGTAAACAATGGAAAATGAGAAATCTCCAACGAGGCGTTTTGGGGCAGCATAGACTGTGTTAGAGTTTTACTTGCTACAGCAGTGGTTCTCAAATGGGGGTACGCGGACCCCTAGGGGTACGTTGCAGTACTGCAGGGGGTACGTGAGATTTATTTTATGTCAATGAAAAAAAACAACATAAGTAATGCATTTAAACAAACTACTAATAGTAACTACTTTATTCAAAGGTTTACAGTAATTCTGGATAATAAAATGGGGAAAATAAACGGGGTGCTCTCTTTCCTCTCCGTCTCCTGACAGCCCGTCAGTCTCGTGCAGCTCGCTGAACCTGTAATAAGTGACCCGACAGTAAAGAATAAATATATTTATAACTAGTTTAGCTAGTTCCAGAGTAGATAAATAAGCTAAGTGTGCTAGGTCTAACTCTTAGTGTATTTTCTATTGTGTATAAGTACAAATTATTAAAAAGATCAGTTTAATGCAACTAATGTCGTCTTAGTGTTATTGCATGATGTTAAAATTGGTTTGCCATGAATTTAGTGATGGATTGTAAACATTTGAAATGTAGCATTTAAGTGGTTCTCAGTTACAATGTTGTTGTTTTAATAAATCAGACACTGATGGTGCAGCGCTGTACTGTACCTCTTTATATAGGCATTTCTTCCCTAACAAATAGTTTCTGCACTGATCAGGGGGTACTTGACTGAATTTTCTTTTCAAAGGGGGTACATTATTGAAAAAAGTTTGAGATCCACAGCGCTACAGGGTGTACTTTGAGGGTTTTTGACTCTGCAGACCGTTTACATGCATAAAAACCTTCATATCACACAAGGGGACGGGTAATAACCGGAAAAGCATGACATGGGCCCTTTAAGATGTGACTGAAAGTATCATAGTAACAGCAAGAAATCTGTAAAGTTATCAAAAGAAAACTACAAAGTTTCACTGAAAAAGTGTTAAAAATCACAAAGTGCTTTAAGAATCATATTCCTAAAGAAAATCTATTCAGACTAAGTACTTGTTTTTTCCACTTTTAAGGTTTTGCATACATACATAGTCATGGGCGCGGGAAGGGGGGTGCTGAGGGCGCTGCAGCACCCCCTAGCGGCAGGCAGGGGGTGCGGAGCTCCCCTGTCTGAATTATTATTTGACGGTTATTGCTGCACCCGCTGTGCATAATCTGTGTAATATGTAGCCAATAAATTCCACATTGTTGGTAAAATAACATTTTGGCCTTCCCCGAATGTTTTTTCTGTAGCACCGGACAATTCTACCTCAATAATATAATACATTAACCGTGCTTTACGTGAACCTCATCATGACACTCGAGAGGACGGCAGGACTGTAATTTCCCGTGTTCAGTGAATGGAACAGAGGCAAAACACCAGACCCATCAGAGAGTTGCATGGAAATAAAAGTGTGCTTGTGTCATTCAAACTCGGCTGTGTGTGTGTGTGTGTGTGTGTGTGTGTGTGTGTGTGTGTGTGTGTGTGTGTGTGTGTGTGTGTGTGTGTGTGTGTGTGTGTGTGTGTGTGTGTGTGTGTGTGTGTGTGATGTGTGTGTGTGTGTGTGTGTGTGTGTGTGTGTGTGGAAATAGCGCATTTAGTGTGTGTGAGAGAGGGAGAGAGAGGGACCGGTGCCAGCAGCAGGCACCGTGTTGTTAGCATCTGGTTAGCTAGCTGCACTAACGGACATACGGAGCTGTTGTTGTTGGTTCCACAACAAGCTGGAGGAGAGGACTCTCCTCTCAGACTGAGAGGCTCAGGTGAGCTAAAGGACTCTCTGAGTGTTTAGATAGTTAACTTTAGTCTAAGTTATCTCAGTGGGTCTCAAACGGTTTGGTCACAAATTATTCAAAAGATTATTTCCGCGGCACACCTTCATATGATCATTATAGTTATAAAAAAAATGAGAGAATAAAGGAAAAACAGTTATGAAATACTATGGCAGTAAAACAAGAATACAGTTTGAATAGGGAATGATTTGTAAAATATCCATAAAGAAAAAGAACATCTGCTTACAGTTGTGTTTCATCTGGGTGTTGAGAGATGTATCCATAGATCTCTTAATGTTGCTCTCAAAGTGCACCAGATTGATGCTTTTAACTTCAATATTTAAAAAAAATCTTCCTGGGGGAGCATCCCCCCGGACCCCCCTAGAGGAGTTGAGGTCCGCTCCCCAATCGTAAAAAATAGCACTTTACCCCTGCCTATATGCCGTGAGCTGATTATCGAGCCTTCATTGTAAGTCGCGGGTGTAGTGTGTTTGCGTGTGAGGAGTGCTTTTGTGCTCTATAGTGGTAATAGTGTTCATTGGAGTCCAGCACCTCAGCACCCCCACTCAAAATACCTTCCCGCACCTCTGTACATAGTATATCTTTCAGTACCTTAGTGAGAGAATTAAGCAAAAATCAGTAAATGTATCAAAAATAAAACTGCCTAGGATCACTGCCTTAAAATCACAAACTGGAAACCCCATTCCTTACAAAGTACTTCATATGCTAACAGATGTAAAGTTTTACATACAAAATGTAACTGAAAGTATCTTAGTAAACACAGTAAACAAATCATTGATGTTAACAAATACTGGATTGTCTTACTGAAAAAGTGTTAAATCACAAGCTAACCATTTAGAGTCACATTCTTAACTTGTTAAGCCCCGAGCCTGTTTTTCAGGTATCAGGCTCGAAAATGACATTCCCAGAACAAATGACCATATATTCTCTTCTAAAAGGGTTAAATTAATAATATTTTTTCTCAAAGTAATGATAAACCTGTGAGTTGGATGTAGAAAAGTCAGAATCAATAGCCTATAGATGTTTTTTATTTTAAAGAAAATTCAGATTGAACATGGTAAAAAAGTGTAAATTATAGTGTCCGTCCAAAACATATTTTGTACTTATAGTGAAAACTAACCTTGGATGATGGGTTAGTAGACTAAAAGCTTTAGGAATCCAAAGTACAACATATAATAAGTACCCTGTATCAAGATTGATGCAAAACAAGTGATATTTGACCTTTTTAGACAGATTTAGCAAAAACAACCTCTTCTGGGGCCATTTGGGTGGATTTTCCATATCTCTGTCAAAACATCACAAGAGAGACAAATTCATTTCTTTAAAAATGTTTTATTCCCGTCATTGTCACAAGTTATTTCAGACAGAAATTGTGCAATCAACAAGACATCTAACAAAATACAGCTGTGCAAGGTTGTATAAATAAATAGTTTTTATAAATAAGAACATTTCATGATAAAACGGTATGCATTAGTTCAATGTTAGGATGTGCAGCCCACAGTTTTCATTTATAATTAAAAAATACATTATTAAAAACCTTCACTAAGAAAGATAGTTCTAAAGGAAAGTGCTTAGTGAACATAATTTACATCTACTGTACATCCCAAGTTATACTGTTATGCTTTGTATTCAAGCTGTACAATAATTAATACACCAGTCGCTTTTCAATGATGGAAATCAGCACTACTGCCATTGTTGGCTTGACAGTAGCCATGACAACATCGCTAGGCAGGATGCGGTCATGAGACTGATGTTATGGCTTACTCCACTTGAAGCTGAAAATAAGGATAAGAACAAACATTAGTTAAACAATTGGGCACCTTTTGACTGCACTGTTGATAAAGTAGCACTAAGCATTGCTTACTTAGGCCATTCACGGAGATGGAGCTCCCCTCAATGTCAAAGCCGGTGATGCTTGCAGCTGCGCGCATTAAAACGCTTGCAATCAGAAAATCATCTGAATCAGCAGGTGTGCTCGAAAAGTAAACATCCATGGTGTTGACGATCGATCCATCACTGCCAAAGTAAGAAAAAAAACGTCTTTGAAAAATCCGATTTAGGCCACTTTTCCAAAAATGTAACTGGACATGTCTTAACAAATTACCTGAATGACACCACTTCCAAGGACTTAAAGGAAGACGGGCATGCACTCTGGAAAACAGGTGTAAGCTGCAGAAACAGGTTGTTTACAGAGGAAACACATAATACATGTAAGATGTAAGTGTTCTTTGAATGTGTGCTTGAGCTCCGCATATACATATACAGTAGGTGAACCAGGAGATTTATTTGTAAGAATGAGACGTACCTCTTATTTAATCGTTGCAGCTCGATTTTTATAAGCTGTAGATGATGGATTCAGCAAGTCACTTGTAAAGTTCTTTAGAAGAGACCTGAATACCACCCTTTTTATAATGAGTTCTGCAGTAGTAGTTGCAGCTGCAACAGTGTTATGTGCAGCAGGACTTGCTATAAAAACAAATATATAGATCATATTTATTTGGTAAAAGTATTGGTTCCCATACTATCCATTGCCTTTTGCTTGTTTGATGAACAAACCAATTGAAAAAATAATTAAAAGCTTTCAAAAAGTTGGTTTTGTAGACTTTCTGGTTATAAACTAGGTTAAAAATAAATAAATAATGCAATTCATTAAAAATATCTTCGGTTTATCGTCTCTATTTTCTTTTTTTTAACATAATTGTATTAACAAACTGATCAAGCAAAATATTATGTTGTGGATACTTACCTAATATTGTGACTGAGGCGGAATTTATGCTCAGATTGAAGCCATTGTTGGGATTGTTTACAGCTTGTACGAAGTCTTTAACAACAACAGAATTCATTGGGAGTTCTGCTTGAGAAGTATTCCCATGGAACACAACTGCCATCTTCACTTGAGTTTCGGAAAGTCGTGGATTTACGGCACTGCATCATTAAACCAAATGGGAAAAGTTAAATCAGATGATTCTGTTGCCTAGTATGCTTAACTATCGCAATTAGAAGACATATATTCTACGATCAAAATCCTGCATATAAAGTGCAAGTTTAACTTTTTAGAAATGTTTCTTTACCTGAATCCTTCCAAAACGCAGTGGGAAAATGTTTTGGGATATTTTGTTCTGTATGTTTTATCACACTGCAAAAAGAACAAACATTGAAAGGACTTGATTAGCTTTCAAGCACAGCTAAAATATTGGTCTTTTAGCTTAAACACTCTGTATGATCATGAAATCACAATTACTGAGACATTTATCAACATGTGTGTGAATTTATATTGCTCTCACCGCATTTAGAACTTCTCCTTCAAGTGCTTTGTATTCATTGCTGTTGGAGTCAGTGAGGGCAGATGAAAAAGCTGGTTCTGTCAATTTTGCTGAGAGAAAATATGTAGGTGCAGAGGCTGCTGTGTTTGTTGCAACAGGTGTTGTCGGTGCAGTTGTGATCTTATCTGGTACTGGACTTGCTGTGAAATAAATATTTAAAGAATATGTAAATATATTTTGGTACCAATACTTAACAGAATTTGTAATCCTTGTATAATGTCAAACAGACACAGACCATTATAGTGAAATATTGAGTTGTGTTAACTTACCTAATACTTTGACTGAAGCAGGATGAATGCTCAGGTTTGGTGGAATTACTCAGAGCTTCTACTAAGGTTTGAGCAACAACATCATTCTGTGGGAGATCTGCAATGGCAGTAGTCCCATGGAACACAACCCCCACAGTTGCTTGAGTTTCAGACCCTTGTGTTGTATTTAAGGCACTGTAAAATAGAAGGGAAGGGGACAAGTATTATATTATGACTTGAGATGATTCTGTTGCCTTGTTTAATGTGTTGTTATGACACGATTAGGGTTAGAGATACACATTTTAAGACTGAAATCTTGCATTTAGAATTCAATCAGAGAAGCACTCAGAAATCAGAAAATGTTCTTACCTGAAGCTTTTCAAACGGCAGTCGGAAAATGTAGTTGGGAATTTGAGGCTGTATTTCTCGTTACACTGCAAAAGAAAGTGTAACACTTCTTATCTTGAGCTATGCTATCTGACTAGAAGGATTCTGGGTTCTACTAGAGTGGATAGACAGGTAAGTAATTAGACCAGAGACCAGGTGGTTTGAATAGAACAGCCGGCAATTCACTGACGAAATAGACAAATAGACAAAACATTAAACATAGACAATGAATATTTTCTGCAGTATAATCAGAGGTAAGTATTTCACCCCTTGTTTTCTGATTTCTGTGACTTAGTAAATGGTATCCATACAGGATGAACAAAATAAAATAGCCTATTTTATTTTAGACCGGTCTACTAAGTATTATTTATAGATTTTTCCTATTTTAATCTCTTCAATATCCTGAGTTAACTCTTTTTCTTTTCCCTTTTCACAGGTAAAATATATCTAATGCAATGAAAAAAAACACAATTGTACCATCAATGAAATCAAATGACAAATTAAAACCTAGAGTACAATATATAGTGTCTCTTTAAATCCAGGTACAACTTAAATCCAGTTCCAACCTTATAATTTCTTCAATACTCCTACCACTCTGGCAGTGAGTTCAGCTATTGTCTCTTGATAAACCAGCAAGTCCTCTCACTGGCGCGAAGATCAAAGCAGTCCCTGGGTCTGGCTCGCCATCTTGTATCAGAGCGTGTTTGTGTGTGTTGTCCTCTCACTCGCGATCAACTTTCTTATCCAGTCCAAAAAACCTGACCTGTATGACAGGTCATGAAAGAATATAAATATAATATAAACTAACAATATAAATTATATAATTACATTTTCAAAACTACTGCAAACTTAGCTCTTTTGTCAATACAGCTTATAATGGGGCTCAAAATGGCAGCTTTTCTCTCCTCTACACGTGTCATTTATCCTGTTCACACAAAATAACACATATTTCCCATTGTAAAATACACATTGAAGCCACGTAGTTTCATCCAAACAAAATAACAAATACATGACATTGCAAGCCATGTCCATAGCTTCCCTTACAGTTCAACAACATGAAATGCTAACAATGAAGCTAACATTAAATCACTCATACAAAACTTTTGAAAAGGTTTGACTCACCAAAACACCGTTGGTTAATGTTCTATACCGTCTACTGGGTTTCCCGACCGTGTGGATGGTATTTTTATCTTTTTTAAATCAACTTTGAATCACTTTTAATATAATTTACTCTGCTCGTCTCATCTGCGTCTTGCTCCGTTTTCTCTTTTCTCCTGCTACGCTGCGCGTGCCTGGTGGTGAGCAGAGATCCCTTAACCTCTTAAGCCAGAGGGTCCCCCAAGTGGACCCCTCCCACCATTTTTTTTACGAGACTATGTCTCAGGGCTTCTTAACATTTATGAAACTATTAATGTTCCATACCCTTTTAACGGTAAGAAACTCAGCTAACTGACAATGTGAACCATTTTTAGCTAAAAGAAACACAAGGGTAATACCAAGCCTTTGAATTAGCATGGAGCGAAAAAATGCTAACTAATGCTAACGGACTTTTGCACAGCACTCACGGTAGAAATGCCCTTATTACTTATCGTAACCGCACAAACAAGATATCCGATTAAAGCTGAGACTCCACAGATTCCACACATGTAATGTCATCACTGTACGACCCCGAATTCCTGGAGCTATCAGCCCGAAAAGAGAAAGTAAACAACATCTGGTTTCAAAAATATTACAATAATTACTTCTTACCTTTTTTGATTTGTGATCAAAAGTTGTGTTCAACGGAATAAAAACGCCGCTCAAGGTTAATCCAATGTCTTTGTGTCACGTAGACATTTTTACTGATAATCCATCATCATATTTATGACAATATACTGGGTATAAAGTTTTGCCTTCCAGGCTTGTACTTTCAGATATGCTTCGTTTGCTTCTCTATTACGTCCGCAATGGTAATGTTTACGTGGATTTGGGAACTGCCCATCGATTCTATTGGATGTAATGGTTAAGAAAAAGGTGTAAATCACCCGAATCGACCAATGGGTTCCAGAGATATGGTCCTGCCTAAAGTATAAAGAATGCCAGCCAGCGTAAGCACCTTACGCAGCAGACTTTACTTGTTGTTTACTACGGAAGGAAGCAGGAATTGCAGGACCCAGAGCGCACGGAGCACAGAGCGGACAGCAGATAACGGAATTGCAGTTTTATTGCTTATAGATTATCAGAACATTTCAAAGGGGACACAGCCCCATTGGATATTAACCTATGGATTAACTACATCATCGTTGTTATCGTTTTAATGCCATTGAAGACCAGTTTAGACCAGACAAAGAGGAAGGTAAGCTATGTTAGCCTAGCGCATGTTAGTACCTAGCGCCACTTGTTTTGATGTACGTTTTTGTTGATAACCTCGCGTTTGTATCTTTCAGTGTTGAGGTGGGCACCGTTAGATTCTGTGTCTTTACGGTCATAAACAATGTGTTGGATGTGGAGCTAGGATAAGTAATAAGGGAGCTAGGAGTGATTTTCGGTGCAGTAATAGGTTAGCATTGTTCGCTCGGGGCTAATTCAGAGTCTCACTGTTAGCATTGTGTGTTTTTTTTGAAAAAATAAATGAAAAAGATCAGTTAAATGAGTTTTTTCCCGTTATATGGATATACAAATATTCATAGTTTATTAAATATTAAGGTTCCTTAGACGTTGTTTCCTGCAAATGACGCGACGTCGGGTCCGTGGGGCCTAAGAGGATAACAGAGTATGTTTTATTTATTTTTTCTTTCACAACAGTTGTATTTGGATGGAATGAATACCTATAGTGATCATTCAAAGTAAAAAAATGATTTTTACAGTGAAAAAGTTCAAATGGAACTGATGGTTCCCAAATTACCCAGAGGTGAGTCTGCCTGAACTTTATTTTTCTAAACCTCTCTAAAAAGGTCAAATTTAACTTGTTTTGCATCAATCTTGATACAGGGTACTTATTATATGTTATAGTTTGGATTCCTAAAGCTTTTAGTCTACTAACCCATCATTCAAGGGTGGTTTTCACTATAAGTAATGTTTTTTCTTTAGGTGGACATTAGAATTTACATGTTTTTACTATGTTCCATCTGAATTTACTTTAAAATAAAAACATCTATATTGATTCTGACACTTCTACATCCAACTCACAGATGTAACCTTGCTTTGAGAGAAAAGATTATTAATGTACCCCTTTTAGAAGTGAAGATATAGTCTTTGTTGTGTTAGTGGCATTTTCTAGCCTGAAACCTGAAAAACAGGCTCAGGGCTTAAGAGGTTAATGACTGTTTTAAAATGCTTTTTTCTTAATGTCTTTCATTTTTGTAAAGCACTTTGAATTGCTGTATAAATAAACTTGCCTTGCCTTGCCTAAGGTCTGTTCTATAGGGGGAAAGTAAAAGGTCAATGATAGAAATATAGAATAGAAAATATCAAGAAGATACTGTAAGTGATCTCTACAATAAAACTATTTAGTGCAGGACGTCCAAAGATATTAATAGGAGGATGTGCAAAACAGACAAACTAATTAGGCTTTATTAAAACATTAAATAATACTTTAGGTTAAAGGTGGGGTAGGTAATTTTGGAGAAACCAGCCCGAGTGCGCTAGAATTTGAAAATACACAGCCGGAAGAGATCTGCTACCTTTAAAGGTAGGGGTAGGTACGTTTGAGAAACCGGCTCAAGATACACTTTTTGTTATATTCCATGGAATGCTCTTAACATCCCGATAGCAATGAATATCTTAAGTGCTTTGACAAAAAAATCCATACAAATTGTATATAGACTCTTATTGCACTATTTCACTATTTACTATTTTTCTTTTTGTATTTACTTGCACTTTTTTTTCTGTGTACCTGTTTTATTGTGTTGCACTGTTGGAGGAGCCTGTGACCCAAAGGGGGGGGGGGGGGGTAGGACATGTTCGAGTCCTGTTTTGGATAGTGTGCCGTTTTCATTCCATTTCAAAGTGCTTTAAACTTCACGCACTGCCACTCCAACATCCAATCACAGAGCTTGAAGACTAATCACGGGGTTTGTCAAGCAAAGCACATGTTGTAGTCCCAAATGATAGCTGAGGATTCTGGGTAGTGTAGTGTCTTCTGCCATCCTCAACTGTTTCTCCGAATCGAAGGGGAAAAATACAAAAGCATTACACACAATTTAAACCAATCAATGTTGTGTAACTAACAAGGATAATCTGGTGTTTTTGAGTTGATGAGTAGTGCAGATATCACTGTAAAAGCAATCGACAGTAAAGAGAATACTTACTTCCGGGTGTCAAATCCTCCATTATCCAATGGGAATGGACGCTCACATTGCCTTTAACTGCCACCGACATGGACCGATGCGGTGCTTCCCTGAGCATCAAATACCGCCGCCGATGGGAATACATTGCAACCAGTTGAAAGCTCTTCGCGTCCGTTTATGAAGCTGAAGGAGACTCGGCGCGTCACAACTGCACGCCAAAGGACCCTGACCAAGCGTCGCTATTGGACGATCAGGGAATGAGACTGTGTTGGTGAGAGATATAACCATGCAGTAACACTTGGGGTTGATTGTCTGTAAACATCACCGGTGCAATAATTAAAGCTCCTTACTCTCCTAAACTCTTTCCAGGACAAGCCGGGGCCCTGCCTGCCAGTAGCTTTGCCGATATCTGTGTTGATAATAGATTAAGGGTGGTGGATCAGCTTGGAAACAGGAAGCGCTCAAACGTTTGTCTGAATTTATCAAATTAAGCAGTGATTCCATGTCAGCCACAGCTTGTCACAACAAATCTGACTGATAGTGTATTTAACAAACTTAAACTAACTTTATTAAATGTCAGGTCTTTGGCAGGAAAAACATTTTTAATCAATGATTTTATCTCAATTGTATGTTTTTAACGGAAAATTGGATTGGACAAAATAACAGGGCAGCTGTTCTTATGGAATCAACCCTTCACAACTTTAGTTTTATGAGTCAGGAAAGAATGCATAAGCAAGGAGGTGGACTTATATATAAACATCTAAGTTGTTTGTGCCCCACCACTTTTGCACATATAAAAACGCCACTGCGTATAGATACAGTCAATCAGTGTAGTAGATGCAGTGAATCGGCGTAATCCAAGAAAAAGTACCTACTGTAACCTTACATTTTACTTTTTTAATATGTAGAAAACACCACATTTGACGGTTAAAAATATAAAGTTGTGGTAAAATTAACGGAAAAATACCATTACATAAACTTACAAAGATTTAAATACCCTAAAATTAATAGTATTATTCTTTTTAAATTATAGATTTAGCTGGTGTTTACATTTAAATGTAGTCTAAAACCTTTTACTATTCAGCAAGAATTTCTACGGAAACAAGATGTTAAAAATATATTCCTTTTTTCATTTTGGTTGATTTCAAGGTAAAATGTCTAAATATGTTATGTAACTGTGACGGAGCGGGTCACAGAGTGACTGACTCCGCCACTGATAGCCGACACACACACACACACACACACACACACACACACACACACACACACACACACACACACACCAAACATTTCCTGCTCTCTTCCGTCAAATGAACCATGCAATTTCTTATTTATTTGACGTTTGTTTAATTATGGGGAATGATTATGTTAAGAGGTGGTTAACCTGTTCATGTTTGGGTCGGATTATTTTGTT